AGTGCAGCGCTGCGTCTGCATGGATACGAGGAATGACGGTGGGGAAATAGGTGGGAGGGTCAATGTTACTTTGTTTAGTCGCGTTTTGTAGGTTGGAAGACGGTAGAACAGAACAAACCCCTCATACCCTGCACCGTCCGTCTGTTGGCCATTACTATAAAGGGTTCCGCGAACGGCGCTGCACAAAGGGTCATCATCCTCAGCAAACTTTCAAAAGCAATTCACAGCAAAGACTAGTTTATAACTCCCTTTACAACACTCGCTTTCGAAGTTCTTCCACACCTCAACACACAAACTCGCCAAGATGAAGTACACCGTCGCTATCACCACGCTCATCGCCAGCGCCATGGCGACTGCCATCTCCTCCGACTGCCCCAAGCCCTCGCACACCGCGACCGTCACCGGCAGCGCACCTGCCTCGTCGTCGACCGCTCCTGCCGACGCCGCGCCCACCGGCTACTTCGGCGTCATCTCCTCCCGCAGCGCCTCGCCCATCCACCTCCAGTCCCTGACCGCACGCGGCGGAAAGTTCTACCTCGGCGGAGGCCCTCCCTCGTCCTACTGCCCCGACAACCTCCCCGCCGGCGCCTGCCCTCCCGGTAACACCACTGTTCTGGCTGGCGGCCAGGGAACTCTCTCCCTCGGTGTTGTCGTGCCTGGTGGCCAGGAGGTCTACGTCGCGCCCGGCGGTGCTCTGCAGTACACCACTGCCCACTCCGTCTCCAAGCCCGAGGGCTCAGACGTCGATGGCTTCAGCCGCACTGCGCCTGCCAACGGCAACGTCTACGGATACCTCGACTACGAGACTGGCTTCGTTGCCTGCCCGGCTGGCGAGGGCGAGGGATACCAGGTCTTTGGTGCCGTTGAGGACGGTGAATTCGGCGATGACTGCCTTGGCTTCACCGCTCTTGCTGGTAAGTTCTTCTGCTTCTTCTGATATTTTTCAAACATGTGCTAACGATTCTTTGCAGTTGCGACCGAAGATGCTGGTGCCTGGCAATACTAGATGTCTCTCTAGCATCTGAAAATGGTGGTAGTGGGGATCTTTAATGTCTATTGGATAATGAACATGAAGTGGTAGATGGAGATATCCATGCTGTACATATGACGCTCCTTAATGACCCGGGCACAAAAGTAATATAATAGTAATGCCTTGACACGATTTTGAAACTTCATTCTCTGCCTTCCAAGGCTGCTCTGATGCGATTGACTTCCTCCTCAGCTGTGCCTTTCATGCCCGTCTGCACAACTACAGTCTTCTCCCTACTCTTCATGCCTTTAACAACTTCAACATCCGACTTTGCAACTCTCAGCACACCAGCAATGACTTCCCTCACCGCCCTGTTCGCCTCTCCGTCTTTCGGCTGAGCGGCAACGCATATCTCAATGCGCTCATCAGAGACCGCTACGATGCCTTGGCGGTGCGCACTAACCCCAGGCTTGACATGACACAGCAATTGAACAGTTCCTGAGCAGCTCTTCGCGGACTTTGAAGCCACGAAACGGATTGCGGGACCGGACATTAGCGGCGTTGGCGTTGAACACGGTAGAGTGCATGTGACTGCGATGAACGGTGGGTTAGAAAGGTCAGCTGGCTTCGCGTGCGGACCTCAGCATGCGGCTGAACCGGTAAAGCCGATCGCAGCCGCCCATTCCACGCCGGGATTAGACCACTGCCCACCCGACCAATCGCTTTTCCAGTGCACCCCCGAGCCATCCTACCAGCAAAGGCGAGCCTCTACACAGCAGTCCTCACAGATAGATGCACATCTCCTCTGTTCCACAGCATGCGCAAAAGCCACGTTGACACCACGCACGCCCTGCCACCTCCCTAAAGCGTGTTGGCGCGCAACCGGGGCGGTAGTGGGGGCTTTCTTACGGTACCTAACGCGTTACCGGTCCTAAGATAAAGACTACTTCCCCTAAGTGATAAATTTGACGAGAGCCTCATCAGACGCTTCCCTTAAGTACAGGTGCACACGATGGAGGGAAAATTCAGCAACACGGAATTAGGTAAGAGATTGTAAGCGTATCCGGCGCAGATAAAATGCATAAAAGGCTGCCCGCCCTCGTTTTTGGGTTGGTTTCTGCATATTTCGCATTTCTTCGACTTCTTGACCGAGTCGAGTTGGGATAACCTTGGAAGAGTGTTGTTGTACGCATTGCGGTATTAGCACTTTTTTTGCATTGCCAGGATAGAAGACATCTTTATTGTTAGCACAGAGACTCACAGTTAAAGGTAAGAGACAACTGCAATTGCTTTTGATGACGTGGTTTGCGACGTGGTGGTTTGCTATCTAGAAGTCGCACTTCTGCAACAACCAACCCACGTACAATCCCATCTTTCCCACAGCTCTACCCACTCCACACTGCATATCACATGACTAACCTCAGCCCAGCAAAATGACTTCCGCACCCACACTACAGCCCAAGTTCCTGCCGAACAAGCATGACCTAGGCATCGTCGCAGTCGGCTTCAGCGGCGGCCAGGTAAGCCCATCCATCCACCCACCACCCATTCTCTCCCCAAACAATTCCAAGATTGACAATCTTATCCCAGCCCAAAGCCGGCGTCGACGCCGCCCCCATGGCGCTCATCGAAAATGGCCTCATCAAGCAGTTAGAAGAAGACCTCGACTTCAACGTCACCTACGACAACCAAGTCCACAACTACTCCTCGCTGCGCCCCACCTCCGACCCCGAAGTCCGCCGAATGAAGCAACCCCGATTCGTGTCCGCCGTAACAAAGCAAGTCTCCGACCAAGTCTACGCCCACGCCAAAACCGGTAAACTGGTTTTGACGCTCGGCGGCGACCACTCCATCGCCATCGGCACCGTGTCTGGGACCGCGAAAGCGGCAAGGGAGAGACTGGGGAAGGAGATTGCGGTGATTTGGGTGGACGCGCATGCGGATATTAATACGCCTGAGTCGAGCGAGAGCGGGAATATTCATGGTATGCCGGTTGCGTTTTTGGCGGATCTTGTGGATAAGAAGGAGGAGTTGACGGAGGATGTTTTTGGGTGGTTGAAGGAGGAGCATCGGATTAGTCCGAAGAAGTTGGTGTATATTGGGTTGAGGGATATTGATAAGGGGGAGAAGGAGATTTTGAGGGAACATGGGATTAAGGCGTACAGTATGCATGAGATTGACAGGTATGTTGTCCGCTTTTGGGGCTTTGAAAATGGTTGCTAACAGCACGGTAGACATGGTATCGGCAAAGTCATGGACATGGCATTAGGTTGGATCGGAAGCGACACGCCCATCCATCTTTCCTTCGACGTCGATGCTCTGGATCCCCAGTGGGCGCCTAGCACGGGTACGCCCGTACGCGGTGGTTTGACGCTGCGCGAGGGTGACTTCATCGCTGAGTGCGTTGCTGAGACTGGTCAGCTCATTGCGCTGGATCTTGTGGAGGTTAACCCCAGCCTTGATGCTGAGGGTGCTGGTGATACGGTTCGCGCTGGTGTTTCGATTGTGAGGTGCGCGCTGGGTGATACACTTTTGTAGGATTGTGCGATAGGTGGAGTTTTAGAGGGGTTTGGGATGGGGTAGATATAGATGGTGTTGTTAGACGAGCAATGACGCAAGTTCATACAATATTCATATTACATATCGTGACGCTTTGTCGCTCTTTCAATGAGTATCAATGAGTTATGCTTCAGAGGTATTTGTACTATCAACACCAAAAACCGGGATGCAGAGCTCCGTTCCCTGTTGATACTTCTACACTAGCTGTGATGGCATATCGACTAAAACTTGAAGTAAGAAGCAAAGAACTAAGGCCAATACTAATATTCATATACAACCGTCCGTGGTTTATGACTACTCCTTGGAGCCCACCGAACGTCTTCCGGTCCATACCGAAATGAGTATCCTTCAGATATTTCATCATTTCGCCGCCGATCGTCTCTGTCTTCCTCGTCTCTAGAGTCTGCTCTTCTGTCGGGCTCAAGTCTCGAGGAGCCTATTCTCGCGGAGCCTGTTCTCGCGGGGCTTATTCTCGCGGAGCCTTTTGTTGCTCGTTCGGCAGTCTTAGGCCGACTTGACCTACGCGCGCCATTTTGATCGGGTTCAGTTGACTCTCGGTATATGTACTCCGAGCGTGAGGGTGTTTCTCTCCTGTCTCGGTCACGCGATAGAGGCTTTGAACGTTGCTCTGGTTCCGCATTGGATACTTGTTCATCCCCTTTGTTTTTGCTCTTTCGGTTCTTAGAAGGGGAGGTCCGGTGTCGGTACGGTGTAGGGGTAGGGGCTTGGGGAGTCACTTCAGCCTCCCGAGGGACTGGATAATAGTATGTTTTAGTGGCTTTGGAAGTCTCTTTAGCCACCCCCATCCCAGGGACTGGGTAGTAGTATGTTTTAACTACTGGGCCAGTTGGCGGGAGAGGCCCGCTTGGTGACGGCGATGGAGGGGGTCGTGGCTCTGCATCAGATTCGGTGTCCTGATAAACGATCTTCCAACAATCCACGTGCGACGATAATCCGTTATTGAGCAGCTTGATTTGCGACCCCAACGGTCTCTTGCACTGAGAGCAGGGGTGGAGTTCTATCCAAGAACCTTTTCCGGGATTGGTTCTGAAGAAACGTGTGTCACCATCTTCCTTAACAACGTAAAAAGAATAACGCTGCAAGCAATGCTCAATGGCTTTGAACAGACTCTCGATGTGACCGTAGTGCTGAAGAGATAGATCAACCCTGTCTGGATGTGGCCTTGCAAATACGTTTCCGATGGACCCGATAGCGGTCGCAATTACCTCGCCGTTGGATTTGTACAGCAGTTCAAGAACTTTGCGAGCATAGTGGAGACCCTCGTGGCACAGTTCGCTTTTGCGGCGAAACACTTCCAACGGATCTTTGCAAATAGAACAATGACGGGCGTGCACCTCGAAGGCAGTGGCAGCCTGGAGCTCAGAGTAGTGGAGTTGGCGTGGAATTGAGGCCGCCGTTCCAGTGGCACCTTCGCCAGTTGTGTTGCTGGGAGGGCGTGGTATTTGCTGTATCACTGCAGGCGCACCGTGTCGTCTTTGCATATGCAGTCTGAACACATCTGACTGAGAGTACCGGTTATAGCAACCTTCAACAGGACATAAATAACGAGATCGATGCTGATTGGAACCTGTCTCTGTGCACCAATTCCGAATGTGATGTGCCAGGTTTTTGACTGCATCCGCACCTTTCAGTACAGCGCCGCAGCTATACGGACAGTGCACGCTATATTCAGCATCAGTCTGAGAATTCTCTGGCGATTGGATCGGCTCTTCTCCGAAAGTGTGAGTATCAAGCTTATCTTGAGAGTCGGTCTGATCTTGATCCGACTCATCGCTCGAAGCCATTGTCCCGTCGGTCGAAGATAGGCGTGGCATCCAACCATTCTTTTGTCCAGTCTCAGCATTGTTCGCAACATTTGAACGGTCGTCGTCTAGGACGGGTCCCCGATGGGCGCGCGTGGACCATTTGCTTTCTACGCTGTCATGGTCAGAAAGATCATCTGGGATGCCCTCAGCTTGTTGATCTGGCTTCTGAGCAAGGCGTGCATCTGTTTCTTCCGCCGACGACTCGCTCTCAGTCTCGCAATACGGTGCAGGACTTCCACCGCCGCCGGAGCCGAAGTGGAAACCACCTCCGCCGCCACGGCCGCCTCCCATACCTCCGCCCATGCCGGCGAACATCTGCATGACTGTATATCGCGTTAGTCGTGAACCTTCTTCCATAGTTACAACAGTACTTACGGATATTTGGGTCAATGCCGCCTTCATCTGTCGCGCTCAAAGAGACTTGTGCTTCATCATCTTCAAATCTATGCTCCGAAATGCTTTGAACCAGATCTGGCCCCTCGCGTGCCTCTTGAATTTTCTTGGAGTCAAGTGCATCATGAGTTTGCGAGTGAACCAGGAGTGTGTCTTCTTCATCTTCGGCAGACGTCCATTCGATTTCTGAAGTATCCTCGGCCGATTGGAGGCAACATATGCCTTGAAACATGTGCTGCACATTCGGGTCCATGCAGGCTTCTTCGATGTGGTCCTCAAGCACATGGACGTTCCAACGTTCCGTTGGCTTCTCTCGTAACATGTTCTCAATCCAGGTCGACGGAATCAGGTCACTTGATGGCCCTGCTGACGACCGAAGGACATTGATCCAACCAGTGATGGCTTCAAGGTTTGAGTGATAGCTATTTGCGCATGAGCCATGAGTGGTCATGTATGTTTTCAACTCCTCAAGCGTGCGGGATCGTAGGACTGTCCACATCTCTAGGAATACACAACCAAAGGACCAGATATCAGACGATGAGTTGCGTTCAGTATAGGCCATGACTTCAGGAGCGCAATAACGGGGAGTCGTAGGCGCTGCTGTCGCTGTGATGCTACTGCCACTGCTGGACCAATCGAGAGCTGTTCCGAAGTCAGTGAAGTAGACCTGGTCGCCTTTGATGAGCACATTCGACGGCTTGATGTCTTTGTGTCGGATACGGTTGTCGTGCAGATAGCATAGCGCGGAGGTTAGACAGCCGAAGAATGGCCTCAGGAAGGATCGTGAGTTCTCGTCAAAATCCGTTTTCTCCAGAAACGTCTGCAGATTCGCATCGGCTACCGGGAGCATGACGATGGCTACGAATCTCTTGTCCGTATAACTGCCGACCAACTCAACGAGGTGCTTGTGAGATAGCTTTTTGAGGTTCCCCAGCTCTTTCGTGAAGTCTTTCAAGACTTGTTTATCCTTCTTGAAGGTCTTTCCTCTCAATATGAGCTTGCGTGCGTACTCCTTGTGACTTATGGTGCTAACGACACGATCGACGTATCCGAATCCACCTTTGCCCAGCTCTCCAACCTTCTTGAAAGGTACCTCTGTAGAATCGCTGAAGTGTCCGTGAGGCGCATGTCGTTCAAGATTGAGTGCCTCCCGGTTGTAGACGAGGTGTTGCAACTCGAGGAATCTGAGTCGCGCAGAATGATCGCGCAGCGCTTCCGGCAGGGTGCTCTTGGTGAATGGGAAGTATACGTCTGTAATGTCGCTGTCAACGAATGCGTCAATCGTGTCTAGTTGGCCAATCTTCCTGAGAATGCTATAAAGCCTTGGAACCCGGCTCCAGCGCTCCCGTGCACAGCGAGTCAACACGTCTGCGATCTCGCGAATGTCGATCTCGGTGAAGGGCGTCAACGTCTCTTCAGCGTTGTGAGGGAACCATCTCCGTAAGAGGTCCTCTTCGAAGCCTTGCTGTGCCATTTGGCGAGTCCGTCCAGTGGGAAGTCGCTATGCGCACGGCACCCCGTATAGGCCAGCGTCGCGAAACGCATAAGGAGTTGTTCCAGTAAAGTTGAACTGCGTATCTCATCTGCGAGCGACAATGGAAGTCGTCATAGTTTTGCGGTAGTAACAGGACGAGTGGCGAGGCAGGCCAGCGTCTATGTGAGACGAAGTTGAGAGGGGTAGTAGGCACCGCCCCCAATCGTGCAGGTCAGCTCCTGCAGCAACCCTGTATCCATTCGTTGTCGAACAGATTGAAGCGAGATGCGCCACAACACTCAGCCTCCGCCAGTGTGACATGTAGTGTTGCCATCTTGTGCATTATCGAACCTTTTCCTTGGACTGAACCATGCGCAAATCTTCTTGCTTGAGGCATTCTCGCTGAGCAACCAGCTAGTCGACTGCTTAAAGCGGCTGTGACGCGATCCAGCTTGTGTTGCTGATGGTACCTACGTAGACTCTTCTTGGCCGATAGGTGCGCGAGTTTCTGTCGCTGCTGGAACTATTGCGCAGCACTAGCTTGCGTAGACTGGTGGAATCTAGATACGATGAGAATGTACTTGTAGCTGAAGATTTGTTGCTGAATTGTTGTGGTGTTGCTGTCACGAATGGGGTCGTCAAGTGGCTTTCCTCAGGGCGCCGCGCCCTAGTCCACGTTCGGCGCGGCACTAATGATCAGAACAAAAATTGGACCTTTCTGCCAGTACTCCAAACATGGCACTGACTGAAGTCGAAACTGGAGTGCCTTTGACCCAGACTGTTGTATGGAATAGCTATGCTGGTCGGCACAACAGGACTAACGCGATTTCACGGCCCTTTTCGTCGGTGCTTACCACACCCATCAACCTTGCACTCACCTTGACTACACCATCCGGCACATTGTCGCATCCTGTAAGTGAGTAAGACGCCCATGCTTCGCGCAGCCAAACATCTAGTCTCGTCTACAATCACATGTGGGCTCTTCCTCGGCAACGTTCGGCGCGTCAAGCTTGCAAAAGCCATACGTCATGGCGTCAACGCCGACTTCCGTTGGTCGACCCGCAAGCACCCGGCGAGTGGGTGGGTGTCGATAAATAAAACTTTGGTTTTGATAAACACTCCTTTGGTTCATTATTCAAGGATTGCGATTGACACTTTGAATTGTGAAGACTGAAAGATGCTGTCGCCGGCTCGTATGTCGCTGTTGCCGGGTGGTGTTAGGGAACTGGTGTCTGCGCCTACGATGAGGTCGCGCACGGCATCGTTATGTCGGACAGGAGCTTTGATAAGCGCAAAGTATGGGAAGAGCTTGGAACAAAAGAGGATGATTACGATTGAGCAATTGGACAAGAGGAGAGACAGTACGTTGTTCTCCTGGCTCAACCTACCTCTTGTACAAGACCCCAGCTACTAACAACCCCATCACAGATCGCGAGCGCGTAGTCATTCTAGGATCCGGCTGGGCGGGCTTCACAGTCGCCCGCAGTCTCGACTCCTCCAAATTCCAAACTCTCGTCGTATCGCCACGATCCTACTTTGCCTTCACGCCTCTCCTTGCCTCCACCGCAGTCGGTACCTTGGAATTCCGGACCGCGCTCGAACCCGTGCGCAGCCGACGAACCAAAGTGGATTTCTTCCAGGGATGGGCCGACGATGTCGATTTCAAGAACAGGACTATTACGATTGAAGAGGCGGTTGACGATCCGAAACAAGGTGTTGCACTGACCACGGACCGACATGCTGGGGAGACAGCGGAAGAGAGGGAGGCGGAGAAGAAGAAGGAAGCGAAAGTAGGGAAGCTATTTGATGTGGAGTATGACAAGTTGATTGTGACGGTGGGATGTTATAGTCAGACTTTCGGCACGCCGGGTGTAAAAGAACACGCCTTCTTCCTCAAAGACGTAGGCGATGCGCGCAGGATCCGGAATCGCATCCTAGCATGCTTTGAAGGCGCGGCCCTACCCACCACCTCCATCGAGATGAAGAAGCAGCTCCTCAATTTCGCCGTCGTAGGTGGTGGACCCACCGGCATCGAATTCAGTGCGGAACTACACGATCTGATCAACGAGGATATGAAGAAACTGTACCCGGAACTTATTCAGTATCACAAGATTACTGTTTACGATGTCGCGGAGAAGGTGCTTCCGATGTTTGATCAGAAACTCGCGGGGTATGCGATGCAGAAGTTCAAGCGTAAGGGCATTGATATCAAGACGAGTCACCATGTTGAGGAGCTGAGGCCGGGGGCGCCTGCCGAAAGAAGCTTTTCAGATGATGTGGATGATTATCATTTGTATACGCTCAAGGTGAAGGAAGAGGGTGAGATTGGCGTGGGCATGTGTGTGTGGAGTAAGTCTCCCATCTCTCTTAAATCCTCACGCTCCACTCGAATGTATAAGATAGAAAGACTAACCCCACCCCCAGGCACAGGACTAATGCAAAACCCCTTCGTCGACCACGCCCTCTCTTCCGTCCGCGAAGCACCAACCGATCTCTACCTCCCCTCCTCTTCTTCCCAACCCGCCACTCCAGGCAAAGACGTAAAATGGGTAGTAAAGAAAGACTCTAAATCCGGGTCTATCATAACCGACGACCACCTCCGCGTCAAGCTCATCCCCTCTACCTCCTCAGGAAAGCCAGGAGAACAATCAGAAGACAAGATTATGCAAGAAGCAGTCCACCCCTCCGTCTTCGCCCTCGGCGACTGCGGAATAATCGAATCAACAACCTACCCCGCAACCGCGCAAGTCGCGTCCCAAAAAGCCTTTTGGTTGGCAAAACGGCTGAACAACGGTTCCTTATCCACCCCACCATATCCATCATCTCCATCATCAAAGGGCTTCACATACCGCGACCTAGGCACTTTAGCCTACATCGGTAACTGGAATGCGTTGTTCCAAGGCGGCGGCAAATGGGGTGGGAGGTTGCAGGGATATGTGGCGTGGATTATTTGGCGGGGAGCGTATTTGACGAGGACGGTGAGTTGGCGGAATAAGGTGCTTGTGCCGGTTTATTGGGTTGTTAATTGGGTTTTTGGGAGGGATGTTAGTCGGTTTTAGGGGGGTGCGGGGGTGGATGGGTCAGAGGAGGGAGGAAGGGAGAGAATGGGAATGGGTATGGATATGGTGGTACTGTGTAATGTGTAGGATTTGAGCTTCGGTTTTGTTGGTTGAGGGATGTAGATGTCTCGTAAACTTCTTTGAGTAAATCTACGGAGTGATGACATTACTATTGAACAAGACATGAGATACGATGGAGGGCCAGTCCAAGCTGGCTCAGCTTTGAGAATTGTAGGTATAAAGACCAACTACCACTTGCGTCTATTCCAGCCGGTGCTGATCTGAGTTTCAATATGCAGGCCATGCTTAGAACTATGGGTTGTAAAGACCAACGCGTTAGTTGTATGAACGGCAGAGCTCCGCCAACCACGTGCCCTCGCGTCGCGCTAACCCCATCCGACAACCCGGCCCAAGCTCTTCTCTTCCCCACACGCATGTGCCGGCGGCCCCTCGACGCGTCGTCACCAGCCCAATGGCCCCCGATGTAGCCTCCATGACCTCGACGCCCTCAACACCCGCCCTGAAGCCATCGCAGAAACCCCCGTCCGGCCCCAACGTCCTCGAAGTCGTCTTCGGCTCGCTGCTCATCCAGCCGTGGTACCCGTCTTTCTACCCCGAGGAGCTTGTAGGGCGACGCGTAGAGCGGCTCTATGTGTGCCAATGGTGCTTCAAGTATAGCAAAGAGTTGGTGGGGTTTATTGGGCATTTGGTAAGCTTTCGGACGGATACACGTTGGATTGAAAAGCTGATGAGCGTAGAAAGCATGTCCTCTGCGCAATACACCCCCGCCGGGCGTCAACGTTTACACGAAGGATAACTACTCCCTCTACGAGATCGACGGCGAGAAACACAAGCTTTACGCACAGAACCTATCGCTCTTCGCCAAGCTCTTCCTCGATACCAAATCCGTCTTCTACGACGTTACGACATTCCTCTACTACCTCCTCGTCGCGCACAACCCCACACCAGAGATACCGAATACCAGTTTCGGCGACGATACAGCGGCGAGTGGAGTCGGTGCGCAGGGGCAGGTCGTGGGCTTCTTCAGCAAAGAGAAGATGAGCTGGGACAACAACAATCTCGCATGCATCCTGGTGTTTCCGCCGTGGCAGAAACAAGGACTGGGGCAGATACTCATGGGCGCGAGCTATGAGATGAGTAGGCGGGAGGAGAGGCTGGGTGGGCCTGAGAAACGTAGGTTGATGTTCTGTCTGCGCATGGTACCTCTGCTAACACTACTACTACAGCGCTGTCGGATCTCGGTCGCATCGCATACATACATTACTGGTCGCAAACGCTCGCTCGGACGATATTGGCTTGTCCTTCTAAGAAGATACTTACAGTGCAAGACCTGCGCGAGAAGACGTACATTGTACCCGAAGACATCATTGCGACATTACAGGCTATGGACGTGCTGGAGCAGAAGAAGAAAGGAGGTGCCGACGCTGTCATCAATAAAGCCAGGGTAAGGGCTTGGGCAGATACACACAAGGTGGACCTGAAGGCAATTCCGGTCGACCCCGATGCTTTTGTTCCGAGGGAAGTGAGCCGAAGTGTGAGTGAGGAGTCGTGAGGCTTGTAGACGGATTAGAAGGAGAAGTGTGAGATACCCAGAATCGATTTGTTTGATTGAGCTCGAACAGACGAAGGAGAGACACTTCTGTATTTCTATTTGTAACGACCAGGTGAACAGGAATATCACAGTTATTCTCTCGTACCCGGTATCGATCACCCGCCGGTCTCTCATATACCACATCTACCTTCCCTGGAATGTCGAATTCCCATTCAACCGTTGGCGCACAGCACACTCCGTAGTCAGCCACTCCTCTACTTGCTTTCCGAAGTGTTTAGTCTCAGATTTGTCCTACCATGTATTCCGCATGACAATGAGTCCGATACTATAGATGCATGAGTGAAACTTCTCAGAATAAGACTTGTCGATCAGGATCAACGGTATACGCGTTCCATTTTCGTGGCGTTGACGTTTCCCCTGTTCTTGGCTACAATGCTTGCGTATAGCACTATGGTAGATCAATCGTGTTACTACTGAACTTTATCGTAAGTTCAGCGCCTGTCAGGGAGTTGAAATCGCGGGGGATGTTTCAACGTAAGCGATCTTATGATCTGGATCTAGATGAGCATATTCGACGAGATGGACCTGGAGGGGAGCCGATTGTTACATGTGTTGAAGGGCATGCTTGCTACATCGACGTTGTGAGTGGCAAGGAGTAGCTGCTTTGCTGTTTCCTTCCTTAAGTCAATAGCTTGTCTACACTCTTCCATTGACAAAAGTTGGAGAGGAAAAATTTGGGTCGAGGCATGAAACATTTACTCAAAGAGTTGGACATGGGCGAGGGGATCATCACTCGCTCCACCGTGGACTGCCATCAGCAGCTGCGCATCGATTCACACACAACGTGCATCAAAAGTACCAGACGAAGTCCTCAACCCATGGCTATTTTCGCTGTCGTAAAATCGACATACCGTCGAAACGCCAAAGACGTCATGCATGAGTTCGTCCGTCTCCGAATCTACTCGCCTCGACAAGTTGAAACTTGGCGTGGAGTAAGCCTGACTTCTAGAATCCCAAGCCTGATCTTTGCCAGGATACCCAGCACGGGGAAGGATGTCGCGGTGAAACGCGAGAGCGAGCAAGTGGAGTGAACCAGATAGCAGAACTGCACTGCTCACCTCGACAATCCTGGTTCGGGGTTGCAGTAGCTTGTTGACGTGGCAGTGAGTGAGCAGCGGAGGACCATGGGCTTGTTAACGGATTGACGAACCGCGCCGGGACAATAGAGAAGTTGCTTCACCACTGGACAGAGTTTGGTATGCGATAGCATCATCACGATGCGGGTCGACGGATTAGACAGACTGTGGAAGCGTGGAGGAAGAGAGGGCACGCGGTGATGGGGGGCCCACATAGTGGGGTATCGTCGCTTGACGGGCTCAACGGGACGTCATTGGGTACACGCGCGGCACTTCCGGTGCACACCCGGTCAGCTCTGCCAACGTTAACTGCGCATGCATGCGCAAGGCGGTGACTGACTGGCTGCAATATTCCTCGCGTCGTTGCTTCTTCCAGTTCAACATGCGTTCTCTTTGTCTCCCCCATTCCAAACTATACCCGCATCGCCCGTGATTATGGCTTACACCAGGGTACAGATTCAGCAGGCCTTGAGGCGTACCACGACATCCACACGATTTGCGAGCCTTGTGCCGTTCAGCCTCTAGAGTCGTACAACGTGTGCTTGTAATCGCTTCAGCATGCAAGGAATTCGCACGGAAACGTCACCCACTGTCTATATTCATCTTTTTCCCGCACACCCCATTACCTACACTCCCCCGCACCGCGCCATCGCCCCCTCTCTGCTTACACAGCTGGACCCTGTAAACAATACGTAGCATGGTGGGTAGACAATATAAACACGCTCTTTGCCTCTCTCTCTCTGCCCTGAACTACCAGATTGCTTTTGGAAACTGACGTAGATACTTCCGATACTTAGTCGGATCATACAGCAGCAGCAGCCTTTGAGGGCGCTGGCTCACCTCCTCGACAGCGCAGTCCTGCTACAGGCAATCCGAAATACCACTACGACGGCCTCCATGACATAGGCACGAGTTCAGCTACTAGCGCACCACACACTAGACGTCGTCCATCACGCACCAGTTCGGGCACCAAGAGTTCCCCACCTTCGGCCTCACCGCCACGCGGCGACGACCATGACGAGAGCGAGCAGAGATCTAAACAGCCTCGCAACACTCTGAAGAAGCTTCTAAGACGCGACTCACATCATACCGACACTACTGGATCGAGTTCACAGGCCAAACAGGAAGAGTTGGATGAGGAGGGTAGTAACGTCGGCTACATGCCCCGGCTCGGTCAAATAAGAGAAAGCAAGAGCAAGGTCAGCACACGATCAAGACGACGAGGGAGCTCTGCCGTTGGTACTCCGGTCGATCCGCGGGTTCTGCGCCGCAGGCATACTGGCGACGACGTCGCGAAACGCTCACACGCACGTGGTAAACACAGCTCTCTGCAACGGCATGCTGGGAATATGGCCAACATGTCTGATCCCTCTCTGGTCTCGAGTGTGACGCAACAGTCAGATGCTTCAGGTGGCAGTAACTCCACGCTGATGCAGAGGCCGTACGGCGGTTATAGCCAAGTCGCCGAGTACCAAGAATCTGAAGAAAGCCAGAGTACGCCCGCGCCAACGGCGATGCAAAGCATCACATTCAACAACATGGACGCCGCCCAGGCAGGAGTGTTTCAGTTTCTACAGTCTGAAGACACGCCTGGAAGTCCTACGCCTACGGACCTTGAGGCTATGCCTCCATCGACTATTGCCTCGTCATCGTCATCGTCGTCAGGTGACACTCAGCATGACGATGGCCGATCATCCGTGGCAGCAGACTCACAGCATCCTGACTCCGCCATGACTTCACCAGCCTCCACGCGGCGGTCCCTCCAGACATCATCACACCAACCCAACCAGGAATATCGATCATTCAAGAAGCCGTTGTACGCCAGTAGCTTTGTGCATGGCCCTGGAGATGACGTCGAAGCCAACCAAGAAGAGGGCAGTGAAGAGGAGAGTGAAAGTGGGTCAGAGAGCGATGAGGAAGTTAATCAAGGAAACCAGATGCCCAACAAACAGCCGGCAGTAACGACCCCTCCTCGAGCTCCGTCGGCGACGTCTCATCAGAGTGATCCGCACGCCAGACGTCTCAAGCAGCAGGAACGCGAACTTGCTAGCCACATCTTCCAAAGGCCACAGCCGTACGGAGACTACCAATATGGGGCAGAGCAACACCCCTACGGTTATCCACCGATGCCGATGTACAACCAGCAAGGTTATTCTGGTGCATCTCCGGCTCCAGTGCCTGCGGCAATCAGTTCCCCACCAGCATGGGCGCCGATGCCTTCGTTCCCAGCTCCGCTAGCCATAGGATATGCGCCTCATCAGTCTCCGGAAGCAGCGCATGCGCATCCACTA